ATAGTTTGGGTTGGAAGGGACCTTTAAAGGCATCTAGTCCAACCCCCCTGCAGTGAGCAGGAGCATCTTCAACTAGATCAGGTTGCTCAGAGCCCTGTCCAGCCTGACCTTGAAAGTTTCCAGGGATTAGGCTTCTACCACCTCTCTGGGCAACCTGTTGCCAGGGTTTCACCACCGTCATTGTAAAAAATTGTTCCCTTATATCTGGTCTAAATCTACCCTCTTTTAGATTATAAAAATTCTCATGATTTACAGTATTTTCCTTTTCCTTACAATTAAGCCTCTATAATGATTGTATTATAATTAAATAGAGTCTGATGGCTGATTTTGACTGCAAATAAGAGGAAAAAAACTCCTCATTCTGTAAAAGGGGCAGCTCTGCTGATTACACCTCTCAGACAATGCAGTGATGCCTGTTTAGATGACTGATAGCTTTACTTGTGAGATGCTAAAGCTGTTTATATGAACCTCATCTATGAATTGATACAGAGTCAGGATAAGCATTCAGAAGAATGCTATCCAGAAGACATAAAGGTATCCTAATGTTAACGTGGTATGTAAAGTTTTTGATGTACAGCCAGAAGGAAACCACAGAAAGATGTTACTGTGTCCTCAACCATAAAAGTGAGGGAAGGTCAGTCATCTTAATACATTAATAAATCCCACATAACTTTTAAAATTTGGTAACATAGTTGATCCAAAATTATTTTATGTTTTTTGGAAAGCACTGGTAGAAGATAGCCATAAATTTAAAACATAGTTTTACAAAATTCATGTTGATACTTATTATAGCAGAAAAAAATATTTTCCTGTGAAAACCAATGGTATCTCATGGAATGAAAATGTTTAATTTGCAGGTTCCAGCTCCACATTTCAGACTAGTGGTAATAAATTTAGACAAGGAATTTGGATATGATATGGAGCTGATTCAAATAAATACAGTATGTGGTAGATTTTGCATATGTTCAAGGGCAAAGTATTACAGGGGCAGTGAGTCCCTATCAGGAGGTCAGTTTTATTTATTCCTTAAGCAATGAGATCATGGCTGCTGGGAATTAATCCATTCATTTTGTCATTGTCTGTGCAATTTCATTTGCTTTCTTTCTTCATAATTCCCTTGAAATTTTTACATAATCTTAAATAGTCTTGCCAACTCCCTTCCCCCTACTTATCTGCACAAACTTGGTTACATTACATTTTACATACTTTGAGGAAGATGAATGGAGTTAACACACACCCGGGGTACAAAGCCGCCTTTGTGTATACTTGCATTGCTTTGAGATGAGAGCAGGAACCAAATTTACTGAGTCATTCTTTAGTCTTGGCTTTTGCTTAGCTCTAAAATGGAAGTTGTTCTACTGGTGATGGTGTTCTTCTCTCATCACTCATCAGAACAGGATTCATCTTGCTTTTCTGAGGATGTCTGTACTGTGGACGTGTAGACCTAGCCAGTATCCCTAGGGCTCCACTGCTGATGTCCACAGTCGATGAACTTCAGACAAATTCATAGATTTGATTCATCTAACTTATTTTAAACATCTAGTTTAGGATGAAGTCACTCTCTAAAAGTGCTTAATATTTTTTTTTTGCTGTTAAGGGACTTTAGGTGACTAAAATTAGGATACTGCAGATGTCTAACTTGTTCAAGTGAATCCCATCTTTTGTCCCTGGACAGAAAATCAACACTTTTCTATAATGAAAAATAATATTAAAAAAACCAAAACAAAACCCAAACCTATTTTAATTATTATTTGTCATCATTCACAGCTTCCTTTCATGTCATTTGCAGTTGTAAATCGTTAACTTCTGTCATAGTTGAGAATTTTAAGGTTCTTAAGGTCTTAAACTCTGTTTATTGAGGGGAATAGGATTAATAATACTGTAGAGAAAAAAGCAAAACTATTTTTACTATTTGTAACTGTGAAAATACATTAAAATTGGGATTGTCTTGGTCTGACAGAAAAAGACCTCATGTTTTCTTCTAATATTGGGAACTTTGTACTAAACACATGAGCACTCAAAAACAGTGTTACATCAAAGGCCTCAAGTTTACTATGCAGACTTGTTCAGATTAATGGTTACTGTAGAATGTATGGTATGTTCTATAAGAGGTGGATAAAAATGATAAAAATTCCCTGTATGTCTGTACTTTATAGCCAAATCAAGTATTACATTACAAAAGCTATTGATCTTTCCCCAAGTGGCATTTTTATTTTCTGTATAAAACTCTGAGTAAGCTTAATCTTTGAAAATGCTTACTCTTAAACCCCTTTTTTTTCTTTGCTTACCAATTCAAGTGATTCTCAGAAGAGTAAATACATTTTTCCTTTATGTAACGAAAATCTTCAGATAGTGATAATCCTCAGATTTCAACATACAGAAGACTAAAAATGTGTTTTCAGCATATTTTGTAAATGCTTCAATATTGAACTACCTTGTGCTTTATTTGTCAAATGATTTTTTTTTTTTAGTCTGGGTAATTTTTGACCTACAACCCTAAAGCTGTCAGGTACAGCATATAGCACCCTGTTATTCTCTAGTCTAAATTAAAAAATTATATATATATAATATGTGTATATTGTGTATCTATCACCTAGCTCCTTTGAAGCTGTGATAGATACACAATGAAGAGGTCTTTAGCAAAGGAAATCAGGAAATCACGCCATAATATGAATATATAAGCAGATTGGAAAGCCAACATCTTCATCATTAACATTGTTGCCAAACACAGAGGTGTCCAGCCATGCTGCATACGTTTTTCAAATGTTCCAGCTTAGCAGCTACTCGGCACATTTCCTTCAAACACAAAATCGTTGGGAAGCACGTTAACATTTGGCCTCTTGCCTTCCCCCCACACAAAGAGCTTTATATGTCAAGTGTGAAAGCTTTAACATGGACTCAAAATAAGATTATTTTTCATCCTGGATGGTAGGTGACAACATGCAACTCCTTACCTTTTCTTTCCTTTCTGTTTTTAGTCTTCCTTTTTAGTTCTTCATGCTGAAAGAAAGATATAATGCAACACATTTTTGGAAGACTAAGCATACATTTACTGTGCCAGGTCCTATCTACTGCATCCTTCAGCATGTTCCAAGGAAAGCACGCAAAGTATTTTAACTCTACTGTATGCCACATAATTCAGCTTCTTAACTGCTTAGAGTGACTAGTGTGACTAGTACTAGAGGCAGTAAAAAAAACCGTGTATTTTTAATTATTTTGATAAACCTGTGGGGCATTGTCATTGAGGTCATTTATTGTATCCAGTTTCAAGATGAGATTGTTTCAAGGTGGCATAGTGTTAGGGGTTTCAATGTTTCTTCATGCAGGAAAGAGTCTCAGGAAACTTGCTTTTGTACCAATGAAAGAAGACTTCAGTCCTTTTGGAGTGACTTGCTGCTCCTTCCCAGAACAGAATTTGGAAAATTTCACTTGTATAAAATGGAAGTTGTTTCTTAGTTAAAATGTCTTGTCTCATTTCTTGTTTTCAAGAAAAAATTGTTGAAAAATCGACTGTGAAACAAGTGGGTATTCTGTAGACTTAGAAGAAAGCATTACTTATAGGTTATAGCATGTTCACAAACTTTCTGTGACTTCCCCAGCTTTAACTGTCATTTCCTTTAAACTCTTTTGGCCAGGAGTAACTCTGTGTTCACAGTAATGTGCTCACTTTTTCTTCACCCTTTTTAACCTCTGTTACTGAATAATTTTAAGTTTATAAAATATAATTCAGAAATGTAGAGATAAGGGATTTTTTTTTTTTTCCAAAGCAGGGATGATGTAAGAGAAAATAATTACTTTTTATAATCTTGAGACATGAAGAGGAAAGATGATCTGCTGTTGTCTTCTGCTTTGATGTTTCCTTAAGGATTGTATACCTATGCTATCCATCTGTTTGTCTCCTGCATTTGCTGGTTATTTATAGACTACTCTAAAAGTGGTAGGTCTGATGGAATGGCTATCCTTATCCCTTGAACTCTGAGTTTCCATGCCGTGATGTGGGGGTTTTTTTGTTAAAGTGTATTGGGAAGAAAATATATTCCAGTTATTTATGATAAAAGCTGTTTTATTAAGTTGTGGTTTAGAGCATCACTCTAGAATCCACCTTTAAGAAAGACTTCTTTTAGAGAAGAGAATTGAAGGGAGAAAGCAAATTTTATTTCACAGATATGTAGATAATTTTACAACATAAAAATATTCATACAGAGAAAAAGCAAATGTAAGTATTCATTTAGTGGATAAGAACAAAATTAAGTCCAGTGTTTAGACAACTACTGTAGACAATTTGTAGAGAGAAATTAAGTCTTTATTGGAAAAATCTCTTGGAAAAAACTTTCTTTTAATAAACCTTTGATTAGTATATTTTTCTTTAACTTATTATAAAGAAACTTGTATTGTTTTGATAGGAAACATACTGTGAGGCATATTGACTAGCCTTTGACAGCACACATGTTCAGAGTTTTATACTCTATTTACTGAGAGTGGCCATTGCTAAATCATTTAATTTAACATAACTGCTCTTGGGATTAATCAATTAATTAATCCATGTTACATTGAGAGGCCTGTAAAACCTAAAGTATCCTAGTCAAATTTCTAAATATCTTTTTTGTTTGTCAACTCAGATAGGACTTTGAAGCATAACTCCTCATGTTAGCACTTCATGTCATTTGCTTTCCTGTGCTTTCCTTGTTGTTGCAAAGAGTTAAAAATCCCTGGGACTGCTGGATGTGAAGGGTAATAGCCAGTAGCTTGATATATAGATGCCAACAACTGAGTATCCTGCGGATTGATATTGGGACCCATATTGTTCAATATCTTAATCAACAATGTGGACAAAAATGTGGGACAAAGATACAAAATGTACATTCTGCAAATCTGTTGATGACGGTAAATTAATAGCGGCTGGCACACTGACAGAGCTTCAGTCCAGACAGGTCTTGAAAACCTTGAGATCTGAACCAACAAACTTCACTGAGTTTCTGCATCTGGGACAGTGTAACGCCATGCATCAGCATGAGCTGGATACCAACTGTCTGGGTAGCAGCCCTTCTGGGAAGAACCTAGGCGGTGATAATGAACATCAGGTTGAATATGAGTCCACAGTTTAGTCTCATCGTAGTTTTGCAGAAACTGTGTCTGTCAGACTGAAGGAAGTTGTCATACCCTTCTACTTGGTGTTGTTGAGCCAAATGTGGAACACTTCATCCAGTTTTGGGTCCTTCAGTTCCATGGGTATGATGGAAAATGGAAAGGTTTAGCAGAGAGCCCTGAAGCATAGGATCTGTCAGAAGAGGCTAAGAGATATTATTTAGTTTTACCTAATCTGAAGAGGAAGCTAAGATTAGATAGCAGCATACAACTGCTAAAAGACAGTTACAGCGACGATAGAACCAAGCTTTCCTTAATGCTGATGGGTAGAATAAAGAAGATCAAGAATCACAAATTGTTGCCTGATGGTTTCAACTCTTTTAACTAGTACAACACTGCAGCAGGTTACCCAAAGGAGACATAAAATCTCTGTTCTTGAAGGTTTTCAAGACTTTGCTAGAGAAAGCCATAGCAGACTTCATCTAGTGTTGGCAATAGTCCTCTTTTAAGCTGGAGGTTGGGCTGGAGACCTCTAGAGGGAGAGTTATTGGAGAGGGATCTCAAGGAAGAGTTCTACAAGCCTGCACATTTCCATGTAAAATTTCAAGATATTTTGTCATAGAGAAGTTCATCTGTTTGATTACTCACCTAAAGTTAAATTATTTCAATATTGCCTGGGAATACCCAACTAGTAATTTCTGACTGGCAAAGAAAGACACAAATGATTACAGAATTTAAACCATATTGCATAAAAAGTTAGCATTTTAAACTATTTGAAGAAGTTATCTCTTAATATGTGAAAAATGTAAACCCATGTTAGATGCCTTTCTAAAACATATAGTAAAATTCCACAAGAAATTCTAGGACTGCCATTTCTAGAATGTATTATGTGAGAAGTGTCCTGTGCAATGCAGAAGTTCAGATTAGATGATCCTGGTGGTGCCTTCTGTCTTCAGAAGTATGACTGAATTATTTCAAAGGCAAAACAGATCTCTGTTATGGTTATGCTAGATGAGGGTTGAAGTTACAGCATGTATTATGAAAGTTATTTTTAAAGGATACAAAATCAATCTAGACTTACTTAATGTCTTGAAGGAATAGATTACCTGAAAATTTTTACTTATCTGAAATGGCAGCTCCACAAAATGTAGTTGAGGTGCCAGAAGCAGGCATAGGAGAACTGAAAAATGCCCAAGCAGAACGGTGTCTTATCCTGGTGACTAAAGGTCAAAAATGGTAGAAATTATTGGCTGGGTAGAGAAAAATAGAAAGGAGGAATATCCAGGTATGTTCCTGGACAGTTAATGGATTAGTTTACAACTAAATTGAACATGCTGACTGTCAAGATCTCAGAATTGACAGATTGGAACATCATTTAGTAGAGTGACCTAAAAGTCAGAAAATAGAGGAAGAAGCTGTGTATTTGAAGTATTGATTTTTTTTTTTTTTTTTCCCTGATTTGGGAAACCGTTAAGACCAAATATTGGTTGTATAGCCTGTCTCCAAATGCACTTACCAACAACAATCTTTGTTTTCCATTAAATCAGATTAAAGAACTCTCCAATTTCAATTTCATCAGATGTAAAAGTGCTCAGGGAGTCAAAGCAAAATATGTGTGTTCGTGTGTGGTGTTTACCTTGTTGATTTTTGTCATTAATGTGAACACATCTGTACTTCACCTTCTTTGTGTGTGATTTCTTGAGCTGTATGGACTCACTGCAGAATTAAAGTCTCGGTGCCATCAGCCACTCATGATACCACTTTGTATCCTTAGTTATGGTTCTGTTCTTACTAGGTGAAATGATTTCTTCATAGATTCATAGAATGGTTTGGGTTGGAAAGGGCCTTTAAAGGTCATCTAGTCCAACCTCCCTGCAGTGAGCAGGGACATATTCAACAAGATCAAGTTGCTCAGAGCCCCATCCAACCTGACCTTGAATGTTTCCAGGGATGGGGCTTCTGTGACCTCTCTGGGCTATTCATTGAGTTATTGTTTGGAGGATAGTTCTATTCCCTTCCTTGATGTTTAAGATAATCTACTTTCCCTGTTTGAGAGACCTGACTAAGCTCTCTGCTTCTGAAGAGGATAATTTGTTTGTGTTCTGCCTCCGATACATGAAGGATTTAATCTCTTCTAGAGACAAGATCCTTACCTTGTGAAAATCACCCCTGCTCTGTTGAAGTAAATGAAACTCAAGCACATGCTCAGACCTAACCATGAACTTCAGTGCTGCTTCAACCATGGTGGCATATGGTATAGTTGGAGAGGAGGGTGTGCATATGCTTATGATTTCATACTTTGACTTTTTTGAAATGTAATCTTTTAATTTACACTGGACTCTGTGTGAAATACATTCTTAAATCCAGGAGTGAGCTTTCTAATTAACTCCAATTCAGTCTAATTTCTTTTCTTCTCCGGTAGGTGTTCAGAAGTATGAAAAACCAAGTGTAGATTAACAGTGAAAACAAATGAAACAGGCACATTTGCTACTTAATTATTACAGTATATTGGATGTCTGTGTGGGAAGGAAAAATGCAATGCTCCTCTCTGTCTGGTGCATCCTCAATGTGATGAAACTTATTCACTGAATCACAGAATTGCCTCAGTTGAAAAAAGACCTTTAAGATCACGTCCGATCATTGACTTCACACTGACAAGTCCCCAACTAACCCATGTCCCTCAACACTATGTCTACACGACTATTCAATCCCTCCAGGGATGGGGACTCCACCACTGCCGTGGGCAACCCCTTCCAATGCCTGAATTAATTTCACTATTGCTAATGCTCCCATTTTAAAAGCACTCAGATTCAGTTCTGCTCAGTGCAGAACATGTTGTCCTCAGTCCAGGAGAACATTTTACTTGTCTGGTCATCTGTAGGCAGACTACTCATGTTCTTCGGTTTAAATGTGCACCTTGGTCAGAGCAAGAGTGCTCAGCACCTTTCCTGACTCAGCGCCTTATCATTGTTGTAGGCAAAGCAGTGTGCAAACAGATTTTTAAAATAAGAAATGACATGATCCTCTGGGTAATTTAACTCGTGAGACTAATAACGAATCTGTGGTTTGTATTTCTGCATCTTAACTGATTTAATGCATGTTTAATTTGGGGGGGGTTACTTCAAGGTTACGGCAGGGGTGCTTTGCTGCTATAATTTCTGTGTGGAATGCAGTTCTTGTTGGAATAAGGTACATCATGTACTTTTACTCTTTTGTCAGAGAGCAGAAAGACAAACACGAATGATGGACTCAGTCCAGTATGCAGAATTCTGTGAAAGTCGGCAATTGAGTTTTTGTAAGTATTATAATGCCTGCACTGTATTAAGATGTTCAATTATTATTTCATGTAATAGAGAACACAGCATAACCTCATTTTTTGAAAGCACTTTTGTTTCATCTGCAGTAATAAAACTTTAAATTCTTTGTGTGCATAACTCCTGGGAACAGTTAATTTAACATAGTTTCAGGCTGTCAGGCAGTATATTTTGTTTGAATATTTACCAAGCTTTCTATGTGTTCCAGTACTGTGCTGGTGAGGATGACTGCAAAGATAGAACTGGTAAAGAGTTAATGGATTAACACCCATGCTTGCCTGAAGTCTGTCATGATGGTGTTATAGTCAGCATATTAGTAAAATTTCATGGTGGCTGATTTTTTGGAATGCATCTAAAATTAGAGAAGAGCAGCAAGTTTTGCTTTTATTTCCCTATCCACAGAGACACAAAGAACTTACTAAAGAGTCTTTTCTATTTTAAGCTGTAAGCTCCTGCTGTGGAATTTATTCAACATTAGCCAAATTCATCAGTATACGCCATTCCAACACTAATAACATGATGACAGAATTAGGGCTTTACTAGCACTGAAAACCAACTTACTAGAAGTACTTGTGGGCCACAACTATAATGAGCTCTAAATTAATGGGCTTGATCATGTAGCAAAACATCATTACAGAAGCTATTAAGTGATGACTAAGGTTTTAGGTCAAATGTCAGAGAAAGTGAGGTGAAGGAGCCAGTAAAAATCATGACAAAACAGCACATGATCCTATAACACAGACTGGAACACAATGGTGTCTTTAAATGAGAGACCTTATCTTGTTCTTCCTTTTAAATTCGAAGAAAGAGTGACTCATTTATCTCAAATAAATGACACATTTGAAATACTGTTCCATATCAGCAAATGTAGGAAAACATGTTTTGTAAGCATTTCTTTTCCTAATTCAATATGTTTTGTAAGCTTAGTTATAATTTGGCATCATACATCTGTGAGCCATTAGATAAATGATACTTCAGATCAGGGTGACTTCAGCAAATGAGAGGTTTGTGATAAAGTCATTTTTAAAACCCAAAAATTATCATCTGGAGACAGAACAAATAGAAGTCTTACATTTATGAAATCAACTTGAATTTGGCTGACCAGGGAATTGTGATCTATAAAAATATCTCAATGGTATTTTCACAGTGTTTTTAAGTTACCATGTCTCTACAGTTCTTTCTTCACTGACATTTAATGTCATTAAATGATAAAAGAATTATGATGCTTAGAAAGTAGTAGCAAGAGAGACTCATGCACAGATTCAATTGCATAATATGAACTCAACTAGATAGAACATAGTAAAGGCCATGCAAAGGCTATTTTTTATTTATTTTCCTATATTTTAGTAAAAATTTAATGTATTGCTATATTTAAAGAAGTAAACCCTTTTTACTGTAATATAAATGCATGAAAACTGTGTCATGAGAATAAACCTTGAATGGACTTCAAAAAGCCTTTTCTAACAGTATATATTCAGAATTACAGATTCATAATTAATCAAGTACTACAAGATTACAGATTTAAATTTTAATTAATATTTTGTGGTCCTGCTGTCACCTTCACACTTTTTCTCTTTTCTATTTTTTTTTTAACTTCAGCAATCCTGTGTAGCTTTTTCTCTCTCTCCTAAAAAATAACCATTATTTACCTGTTTTCTGTTTAATACCTGACTTCTCTTTAGCTTTTTAATCTTCATTGAAGACTCACTTTGAAAGAGCTGTTTGAAATTATTCTCTTACCTTGTATTTACTTCATTTTGATTGTCCTGTCTTCACAAACAGCCCTCATTAAGACCTCTATGTTACTAGCTCCTTTCTGTCCAGATTTCCACTGCTTTCTGTGATCAGCTTGTCCACCACTGACCTAAGATCTTCCTTTTTTCCTCCTTTTATTCTCTCAGCAAATATCATGTTTCTTTGTCTCATATTTTTATTTTAAAAACACTCATCTACAAATTATTTTGGCTAGCTTGTCAGCACCTATCCCTGTATAGTTAACACAAGGACTTCCTATTTCTTCGGTCCTTCTTCATTTGTCTTCGCTATTGTTAATACAATTATATCGTTTTATCTGGACTCAGATTTGTGTTGATTTCTTCTAGTGCTTTCTCTCATTCTTCAAAGATGTGATGCAATCTTATTCTTTCTTTAACAATAATATATTCAAAATCAGATTTGCCCTGTCTACGGTCCTCTGAGGTATACTGTTCCTTGTTCTGAAATTTCGTGTATCATTGATTAACTGTGTGTTTTTCTCTTTGCTCTATTCTGCTTATGGGTCTCCAAAATGTTGTGTATGAAATAACAGTCTTTCCCCACTAGTTCCATTTTGATAATTCCTTCGTTGGCCAATCAAATCACATTTATTCTCCTTGTTTCACATTTGGAGTATTTTCTATGACTGGAAAAAAATGCATTATTTTGGCCTACCTGTTGTTGACTTTTCCTTTTCTCCTTATGGTTTTAACTGACAGCAAAGAAAGCATCCAAGTTTCGTGACTGGTTGGACTGTAGCAGTATGGAAATAAAGCCAAATGCAGTTGCAATGGAGATTTTGGCATATTTAGCTTATGAGACTGTGGCACAGGTAAGGGAGTATACAGTTTTAACTCTAGTTTAAAAAAAAAAAAAGCAATTAATTACTCTTGGGTGTATCTCAGCCTCAGTTGACTGTGTTGTAAGCTCCTTCAGAAGCATGCAGTCACTACTTCTGCTAACCAAGCTAACCTTTCAATTTACTGTATGATAGATGTGTACTATACCATATTCATCCATCTAATACACAAATAGAAATGTTTTATAATGGTTACAGAGGAGAGTGGAGTCCAGCATGAACTTTATTCAAGTCCAAACAGAAACCACATACTTTGCTATGTGACCTTTGGCAATGTGCTGAGGCTCATTCATCCCTATTGCACAATTGGATTAAAAAGCAGGAGTTCCTGGAAAACAAAATGTTACCTCGGTGCCAAGCTGAGCCCTCTTGGGTAGATAGATTACTCCATATATTTACAAAAGTCGACAAGAAAGGTTTCTTAGGCTGAAATCTCTCTGAATAATTTTGTTTTCAACTGAAAAATACTAAGAAGAAGCTGCCTCAACCCACAAGTCCTCTCTCTCTTCATTGTTACAATGGCATTTGTAGTAAGTACCATGTCAGTAAACCTACCTGTTTAACGACTGGTTTTATCCCTCCAGTTGGTGGACTTGGCCCTTTTGGTTAAGCAGGACATGGCTCCCAAAGCTGGTGACCCATTCAGTCATGCCATTTCTGCCACCTTCATACAGTATCACAACTCTACTGAGGTAAATCTTGCTTTTTCACATATGAATGCATTTTATGTTTTACTTTTAGATGTATTTGGTAATTTGTTGCTTTCAAAGTAGATGTTATTCAATCTGGTATTGATATGGACTTCTGCTATGGAGTTTATGAACATTGAAGTTATGGATTTAGATGGAAAGACCTTAAGTTATAGCTCCAAATGCTAAATCCTGAGCAGCATCTTTATATACAAATAGAAATCCTCTTCTCTTGAGTGGAAATTCCTTCTCTCTCTATTGCAGATTTGGAGGTTAAAGTTGTTGACAGTAGTAAATGCAATAGATGTTGTTTTGCATGCATTGCTGTGATACAGATATTATAGTAACCTCTAGAATGAGCAAATTTAATTCTATATTACGTCTCTTCTAACAGTAAATCTAAGAAAGCTTTTTTTTTTTCTTTTTTTTTTTTTTGTGATTTCATTATCTAATGGCTCTTTGACATCTTGCTTTTATAGCCACATCTCTTAGGGCAGTCTGCAAGTGTGAAGACCAGTCTTGACTCTCCTGAAAACACACCACCTCCTACACCCACACCCCCAGCATCAGTAGGACAGCAACATCTTGGGAAAGCCCCATCAGGAACCCTGGGGAATGGTGGAATTGGACAGGACTCTACCAAATCCAAACAGAGGAAAAGAAAAAAGGTATTTGGTGCACAAGCCTGGGGTGGGGGGCAGAACAACCCAAAAGAACCCACCACAAAACATCTTCAGGAAATAACATTTTAAATATTAATTTTAACCTATATAACATGATAACTACCAATGTTATTGTAGGGCCAAATGTGTGGTTTGGTGTTTTTTCTATCAGAACAAGGCTAAAACTTCTCAGTAATGCCTGCAAACTGAATTTTGTTGAGGTAGCAACTGCTGCTTGTAAGATGAGCTGTTGCTCTACAGCCACAGCAATAGACATCATCCCAAATAATCATTCTCTTCTCTGACAGTAGCAGCTAGCATAGGTTTTGAGGGCCAAAGCATAAGCAAAGTAGGCAAAGAGGTGGTTGTGATTTGCCTGCTCCCAGCAGCCTTAGGTAACTGCCTCCTTTGCCTGTAAAAACTTTGCCTGGCCTGCTTTATTTTTATGCCAGTTGATTGCATTCAATCTGAATATTTGTTTACTTTGCATAAAATATGGATGGCTCATATTCAGAGTGTGAAATGTAAATATTATAATTCCTGTATTCTGTTGTATATCCTTGGTATTCTATCTAAGAGGGATATAGGTACCTTAAAACCACAAGGGAAATAGATTTTATTAAATAAACTGGATAGGAAGGGCTTTTTTGAAAAAAAATCTGGTGGCAGTACTCATTTTGCTGCAAAGCAGTGGAGTAACTTGTGATTTGCTCATGTGTTATTCTCCTCCAACCAATTTTTCAGAGTTTTGCTAGTGATTTTTCCAATGACAGGTAGAAAAAGATGTATTTTCTCCTTGTAGTGTCATCAGTGTGGTAGATACTCCTAATAGTTTCAACTTTTTCTCTGCCCTTATTATACTTCATTTAGGAACCCTTTAGTGAATCCTAAAAACCTCTCTGAAGACTTTTGCTTTTTCCTCTTCCTTTTTATATTACATTTGATTATGTTTTGCTTATGTGTCTGATTTCCATTATAATTCCTAGGAACAAGAATTTAGCTGAAAATGTAGTTTTTGATACATTACACTACATTTGATACATTTCACTAGTGTTGTGAGTTTATTTTAAATTCTTACTGTTTGATTTAATACCTTTTGGAAAAATTATCTTCTATAAAGCGCAGAGTTTTAATGAAATGTTCCCATGACTTAGCCAATTTCGTTAGGTATATACAGGATAAAACTGAGGCATTGAGGCAAACGAGTTAACTTGGTAAAGAATGTTATTCTTAGTCCATGAAGGCCCAGTCCAGCTGAAAATATTTGAGTTTCATATTCCCTTTATGAACGTCAATCAGCAAGGGAAGAATCTGCCATCATATTATGAATAATTCTGTGTGTACACACAGAGGCTCCAGTGGACTCTGCACTCTTTAAAATAAAACACTTTGTAAAAAATAACCCAAGTTTGAAAGCATTGGTATACAGTGTAAATGCATAAGGGGACCGTGTATGTGTGGACATTAAATTTCAGCATATAAGTTAAGGTTTTTTCATTCTTTGTACCTTCACTAATAGTGTTTTCATAAATTTATTACCAAGCGGCCATCATTCTGATATTCTGATCATCTGAATTCTGGCAAGCAGCCGTGTCTAGATGGAGCCTAAACCAACATTTCAATTTGACTAGCAAGGAGAAGAGAGTAACTTTTTCTTTTAAAATCCTGCGGATATTTTTGTAAAATCAATGGACCAAAAGCAGCAAATTCTTATTTTTCCTATTTAGGGTCCTTAATCCAAAAAGTCATTTGAAATGTGAAAAAATTTCAGTTTTAGGTAATTAAAATATTTTTGCATCTGTCTAACACCGTTATGGTACAAGTTTCATCTTCAAATTTCAATCTGATATTACTCAATGGTGATTTGGTGTCAGATTTTCTTCCACTTTGGGTACTTGTTTAATATTTTCCCCACCCCTTGACACCATAATGAGAGCCCAAGACATTTTAAAAATAGTTTCTGTGGTTATTGCAATATGACTTATATGACCCTTCCGTTTTAGTTTGAACATTTTCTGCTCTTTTCAATTGCAACATGCAGCAGCACTAGGTGAAAGATTTAAGAGGACAAATATGGTGTTCTTTGGGTCTCTTAAGCAAAGTTCATGTAAAAGTCTTCTTTGATTTGTTAATAGCTTTTTTTCTGTAATGCAGTGTGTGGCAGCAATGATGTGTATCCTCAGGAAAAAAAAAATAAAAAAAAAATTGGTCCATTTTATAAAGGTTTATTTTCATACTTTATGCACTGTAGGTCTGTTGTGTGTTTTTCATTTAGTAACAATTTATGTGTTTTTCTGTTGCAGAGCACTGCAGCCTGTGGTATAGAGGCTCAAAGCGATGCCATCCAGCCCAGCCACATCAGAGAGGCCATTCGACGCTATGGCCACAAGATTGGCCCCCTTTCCCCATTCACAGTACGTAATAACAGAGTTATAAAAAGTTATATTTATAATCTTAAGGAACTTTGATTTTCAAGTGGTCAAATGAAGAAGCTTTGGAATTGTTGAGAGCAATTTGTGGTGACTGTAATTTTCTTTATAAAAGTGGCATAATTCACTTGGGAAATAAAACTTAGTAATTTCTGTCCCTTTTTGGAAAGACAAAAAAGTTTTTTTTTCTTTTAAATATTATTTTCTTTCAATTACAAATTATGCTTTTTTGTTAGTGCTTGAATTTTCTGTTTTTGCAAAGTTTAGGTTTACAGTTATTTTAAATTATATGTATTCCAATATGGTGAGGAGCACTTTATATTCTAAAATTAGTTGTGTGTCAGATACTGCTCCTATTGGAAGTTGAACTCTCAAGTGACACATTTACAGTTGGAGAAAGAAGAGAATGGTTTCTTTAGGCAACTTTGAACCTCCTCTAAAACGTGATAGAACTGAGCTTGTGGTAAAACACTGATGGGTTGTGAGGTTTCACCATCATTTTTTCTATGCAAATTGCAAATCCATTGTTCAGAGCAGACAAACAAATTCTTTATTTAATTTTCTCAGCTGATAAAAATGTGAAAGCAGTCTTTCTCCAATGTCATAAATTGGAGTAATTTTCTTCTGATCTGCTGTTCTATTTGGCACGTAACCTTGCTTACCTCAGAATATTTACATTTATGAAAGAATGAATGTCAAAAAAATCATTGTAGGGGGAAAAAAAAATAAAACAAAAAAACCCACCAAACTAGATCCGAGCTCCTAAAAATCAGGAAGAATTTGTCCATTTTTGGAGGGATTCTAGGAAAGGAAAATTATTTTGAATTTGGAGGAAATTCGTCTACATGAAAATTATATAGAAGAATATGAAGACCATAAATGTCAAGGAATTAGTGGGACTTGACCTCAGAAGCAAGGAACGGGAAAAAATGAGAGGAAATTAGTATGTGAAGTTATAATTTTCCTAGTGTCAAAAGTGATCAATGCTTTTATAAATGACAGTAAATATTTGCTTTATTATTGATAGTTGATATGCATATACAATGAATTATCTTTACATAATTTTACTGCTCCTGGTGGCCTCCTCTGGACTTGTTCTAGCTGCTCCACATCTCTCTTGTGATGGGGGCTCCAGAACTGGACTCACTACTCCAAGTGGGGCCTTACAAGAGCAGAGTAGAGGGGAAGAATCACCTGCTGGCCACGCTTCTCTTGATGCAGCCCAGGATATGGTTATTGGCCTTCTGGGCTGCAAGCGCACATTGCCGGCTCATGTTCAGCTTCTCATTCACCACCACTCCCAAGTCCTTCTCTTCAGAGCTGGTCTCAAGCCATTCATCACCCAGCCTGTATTTGTGCCTGGGGTTGTCCCGACCCAGGTGCAGGACCTTGCATGTGGCCTTGTTGAACTTCATGAGGTTAGCACAGGCCCACTTCTCAAGCCTGTCAAGGTCCTTCTGGCTGGCATCCCATCCCTCCAGCGTGTCAACCGCACCACACAGCTTGGTGTCATCGGCAAACTTGCTGAGGGTGCACTCAATCCCACTGTCCATGTCACTGACAAAGATGTTGAATCACTGACAAAGATGTTGAATCACTGACAAAGACGTTCAATACAATTCCTTTTTTCTTTTTAATGAGAAAGGTCAGGAAAAGCATTTTGAGACATATGATAGAGTATGCATTTGGGTCTGCCAGGCTGCCCACTTTTCCTTTCAGTGCCCTCTTTGGCAGATTTGAGGATGAACAGCGCTATCACACTTGTGCAAAAAGAAAGTACCTCAAACTTCCTGTGCGTTCCTTTCAGATGCAAAAAGTATGAAGATAGGTAGATGCTTCCTTTGACCCGACCTTTTTGTATTGCCAGACTCTCACACTATTATATTAAAAATATTATTTTAGGCTTTTGAACCGTACTACAGCAACACTTCTTTTGATCCCATTTGGGTGTTCCTGCTCCGGCAGGGGGATTGGACTAGATGATCTTTCAAGGTCCCTTCTAATCCCTGACATTCTGTGATTCTGTGAATGACTTCTGCTTTCTCCAATTGCCATGCCTTTCACATTAGTTTCTTTGTGTATCTGCGTGACCTCCTAGACAGGATGACAGAACCAGGAGGAAAGGTGGCTTTACTCAATGCGCTGCTTGTGATTCTGTGGTGACTCTTTAGGAACTGCAGAGAGGAAAATATCGAATAAGTATCTGTCACTAGATCCAGTGAAGTCATGCTTTCGGCTGTTTCCACCCTTAAAACTAACCTAAAGGTCATGTAGAGAAGTTAGGCATATATATTTGCACATCTTCTCTTCCATTTTTCTTAAGCCTGTTGATCATGCTTCCACATCAGATGTGATTTTATAGCCAATAGGTCCCCTCACAGAGTCTTCTGTAGGTAAGGAGGAAGGATTTTTCTGCATGTCCCCATGTTTGACACTAAGTTTTCTGATGACAGTTTACGTTTCAAGTTAGTAGTTCTACTACAGAAGCAAGGACAAGAGTGAGTATAGCTCACTGAAGAAACAACCATTTTTGTGAGCTATATAAATGGTCAGTTCAGTCCCTAAAATGTACAGATGAGACTGAACTTTAGTAAAAAACATAGTTCTACATTCTTACAATAGTAACAAGAAAAATCTGCAAGTCTGCTAGTGCCAAAATGCTCTATTACTCCAGTATAAATTTATGATACTTGTACTGTGTAGAATCAGTCCTAGAAATTTAACCATGTACTTTTCTATCCTGAATAACATGACATGTTAGTAACATAGAGGGAATCTCATACCAGGAATAACAGGCAAAATAAATTATCCGATGTATTCAGCAACAGTTTTTTGAAAGTAAAATGTGTTACTGCTCTTGACTGCTGACCATTGAGAAAAGATTGGGGAAAGTAAAAGGGATCACTTTAAATGCTTTTCTGTCTTTCAGTGAAATGCTACATGAACTTCAGCACAGTACATTTGTTGGGATTTAATCAATTATTTTAGGTTTGTAGGCCTATGCTATTCTGAAATTTTCTTGGATATGTGACTATTGAGAATTTTACCCTTGCTGTAAATTAGTAAGAAATAATGGACAAATCTGGACTATTTTTTCATTTTAAATAATTTCCATCTTATTCCAGCCTACCGTACAAGGCAGCAGGCAAACATTTTCTCTTTCATTTGGGAAATTATTTTTCATTTAGCTAGATGTGTTTTTTGCCTTTTTACTATGCTGCCTAGTGTAAGGCATTCAATAATCTCCCCAGAATTCACTGTGTATCATTTTTAATGTTTATGATTTAACAATATTTGTTTCTGAAAGACTTTATCATCTGTCCAAATGGCTTGAGTTTAAATCAGCAGTATATGTGGAGAAATTAATAAAAATCTTGACCTGCAAAGTATCTGATGATATTTCCCCATTTAAAACTGCGGGATACTATGAAATCAATGTTCTCTGTATGAAAAATCCCATGCAGATGATTGCATTTTAAACCAAAATGAGGCAAGAATATTCTAGCTGCCCTTGATATTAAAATACAGATTTTGTCAATTCCCTTCTTTCTCTCTTTTTTTATTTCTCCCTGTATTATAGTTTTAGTCTTTTTTTTTTCTTTTTTTTCTTTTTTTTTCTCACCTTCCTATCATTTCTCACCTCTGGTGAGCCAGGGTATCTCAGGTCTTAGACTAAAGCTAATTTCTGTAGTGTCTGAAAAATTCAACATCACATTCCAAAAATGTGCAAACCCTCTACTTTCCTTCTGCTCTGTGGGGTTACAGGAAGGGAACAGCCTTGCTTTAATACTTGATTCACGTGTTTTTCAGTGATGACTCATTCATATTTGACCCTGCTATTTGTCTGTGCACACCCAAACCTAACTCTCCAGAAAGGCCTCTGTATTTGAATCACCCATGGAGACTATGATGTATGAGACCTTGATTCTGCTCAGCTCACAATGAAATGTACTTTTTTCCTTGGCGCAGCTCACAAGAGGATGTGAACTGATAGGAGAGTGCTCTTCTGGTCTTGTATTTATCCTACCAGTACACAGCCTTCATTGTGGTGTGGGTTGTTTGGCTTTTCCTTAGACCACCTTTCTATTCTTCAAGGCTGTTCTCTGTTGAGAGCAGAACAACCAGGTCATAGAACCATGAGAACCTTACATATGTAGGTGAGTCTAATCTTGTCTTGGCAGCAAAGTGGAGTTTTCATCAAGAAATTTCTGTGTATGGGGCACTGACTTTGGGATAGATGCATTCAATATGAGGTTCACCCATAGGCAGACTGAATTCTTCCCTGAGCACCCTCAGCTGTAGTCTCATATTGAAGCTTGATATTGGAAGAGGAAGAGTGAGTGGGTCTCAAAGGTTGGATCCATACCAGGAGTTTCCAAAGTCAACCTTTCCATTTTAGATGTAAATGAGAAAGCGGTATCCAGGATCTCTGTCAGATATGTTTCTCTGGTGACACTGATGGAGATCTTGCCTTATGTGCCAGGTCCTCACGTGGGATTCAGGACAACAAGATTTCTCAGTTTTCCATATGCCATCTCACAGCTTGGGTACCAGGTTGTTCTCAGTGTTAGGGTTCTCATCACTTTCCTCCATTTAGTACACGCTACTGCTCCAAAGGATTAAAAGAAGTAAGTTTAGTTTTCGCTACTCATTTGACTAACCTTTTTCATTTCCTCAAGTCTGTCTTTTTACAAAAATGAAAGACTTCCCATGAGTAACGTTGGGGTGCAAATGATGGCTGATTTTCCACATCACCCATCCTCAGGTAGGATAATATGTGACTCTTATATGTCTTTCTTTTAGTCAGAAAACTCATCCCCTAGTGGTTTTGGTTCAAATACTGACTTTCTGAATACAGCAGGCCCTTGGCAACTGACAGTCAGTTATTACCTTTATCCATAAAAATATTCCTTCTAGTGGCTTCAAAGAGATCAGGTGAGAGTTTAGATCCTTCTGATATGGTTTTTCCCTCAGAAATCATAGGT